CACCAGCACAGCTCACCCCGCCGCTGCACACAGTTTCTTTGTGAAATTTGAGGCATTAAAAAAAAAAAAAAAATCCTTTCCAATTATCTGGCAGAGGCACTGCAGCTGCTCCTCGGGGCTGTCTATGTGCTGGAACAAGTCCCCTCTTCACAACCGGCCCGGGGCACTTCTCCGTCTGCCACATCCCCCAGCGTGGTCCAGGTCAGCCTGACCCCAGGTAACACTTTGCCCCATGGGAGTAACATGAAACAACAGCTCTTCATGAAGCATAATTCCTTCTTACCAGAAGAAAATAACGTTTTAAGCCAATCTGGCTTGTACCGTAATGTAAGGATGTGAGAATTTCACTTGAAAACATGTGATAGCAACTTTAATGCCAAGCTCCACCAAAAAAAAAAACAACTTGGGGAAAGAATGCTAGCACAACTAAAAATAAAAATACATATATTGCCAAAAAACCTCCCCTTCATCTGCAGGAAAATGGCAACAAGAGCTCAGATGGCTGAAAGGACCGCCACGGGGAAAGATTAATAGAGTTGATTATTTCCATGTTGAGCAGCTGACAGATACTTTGGGGAGGGGGAGATGTCCTGAAGGGATGGGGTGGTGCATGGCCTGAGATGGGGAGCTGCTGCTTGAGGGGTGCAGCCAGCGCTGCCGAGAGATGAACAGCCGCTGGCGGGCGGCGCGGGGCCAGGAGCCTCCGACCGCCAGATCGATAGCGCTGTTTTAGATGTAAAGAGTGTTTGGTGAACACAGTGAGGAAAGGGGTCTCGACCTGCAGATCGTTAAGATTTACTCTGTGGTTCCTGAAACAGCAATAATGGGGTGAAGCAGGAAAAAAAAAAACCAAACACACACATCCGGAGGTTATATGGTTGAGCTCTGCATATGGAGTGGGGGGATCCTCTATGGGCCAAATTGTACTTTCTCCCCCAAAAGAGAGAAGAGTTTCTTACAAGCAGAGGAGACTGGTGGGGGGCTATAAGGTCTGGCCATCCTTGTGGTGAGATGGTTTCTCCTTCCCTGTCCTTCCCATATCTCTTTGATCGCAGAGCTCATGTCCTGCCTTGGTCTGGACACCAAGGCTCTCCCGGTGCGTGGCAAATTCAGGCACTTTTTTTTGCTAAATTGGAAGCTGACACGGAGACATCAGGCCGTCTGACGGGATATTTGAACAATGGGCTGTTTAAAAGCACGTTGTGCTAACCACGCTTGCAAGCAGCCGAAAGGGACCGGATGGCACGTAGCCTGGATCAATGCTGTTCCGCTGCCCAGGTCAGTGGTTTCTTGGTGAAATTTCTGATTAATGGACGCTCAGGAGCCAAAGGATGACTTGACTCCAGTGGCGTGTTTGGGGATGGCTGGGAGCCAGCGAGAGGGGCTAAAAGGGGTTGGACGAGACCTGAAACCGGAATGGAGGCAGTAAATAGGGTTAGATGATGCTAACAGGCCTGGGGCGAGGAAGGATTTGCCTGGCCCCATTTGCAGGATGCATAGTGCTTGTCAGCCCTAAAGTGATTTGGGGAGCCCCAAAATTCACGTTTCGGAGCAAAGCTGGTCACTGCAGGAGCTGCTAATTCCTTATCGCCAGTGGTTCAGGCTGCAAGGTGGGGTCACCACCTGCGGGTAGAAACCAGTCTGAGTGGCAGTCAGTGCCGCAGGATGCTTACACACAGCTTAGATGGTGTTCGCCACCCCCAGCTGGGTTCCTCCTACACCTCTACCAGGCCCCCAGCCGCGGTCGTGGCTTCCTATAGCCCTACAGAAATGAAATTTCATATAAACAAAATTAGAGGTTTGGATGGAGACCAGGCACTGCAGATGTGCGGTGCAGATATTACCATCTGCACTTGGAAGCCTGCAATGTCGTCTGATAGCTCACCCATTGCCACAGAAACTTGCACCAAAATTTTAGGGTTTTTTTTCTTCCTTTCCAACAGAATTTCCAGCTTTTGTAGTGATGGGGGGGAACCCATCCCTCAACAGTGTTAACTGGGCTGTGGAATGGGGAGCTGTTTCCATGGAGGTTAGTTCACATGGCTAAGGAATGTAAGTAGAGGTTGTCTAAGGATTAAGTAGAGGTGTGCAGCACTTTTGCCTTTGGGTGTGGGTTTCTGGAGATTGGAAGGCAGCGGGGAGAAAGGCTTAGTCCTCATGGATGTGGTGTGAGCTCCTGCCACAGTTATATGGCTGCAGCTTGCTCCTCTGTGAGCCCCTACGTAGTTCAAAGCTACATCCACTCCTCCAGCAGCACATTTATGCTGCTTAACATTAATATATAAATAATGATATTTAAATAAAGTGAAGAGCTGAGGTAAACAGTATACTGACAATTTCTTTCGTTTATTTTATAGTTTTGGCTTTCCCCCACGTATTTTGTCCCACCTGCCTTTTGCCCACTAGTCAATGTAACACAGCAAGAGAGCAGGGGAACGCTTTCTCCCTTCTCTGATCCCCCTGCCCAAGTTATTGTATGGCTGATACACTCCTCAACTAGTAAATCATTGAAGGTTTGCTATCTCATGGCCCTCTGGCATAAGAAACCCAGCCTCCAATCACGTCTCCTATTTTCTAATGCAGCTACTTCATTTCAATATTTATTCTTTGTAGGATTCACTGCTATTTCCTTGCTTTTGATTGCTTTTTCAATCATGTGGATAGGGTACTGCTCAATACAGAGCCCATGTGTGCATGTCTTATATACGCTTGGGCAGTTAGAACCAGAAAACTGCGGACTGTTCCGCAAAACGTCCCGAGACATCCATAGATCAGCCTGACATCTAGATTATTTTTTAGCTCATCCCACCCCGCGATATTGATGACCCTGTCAGAGCTGCGGCCGGTCTTTCTGCAGAGTCTCGTGGTCAGAACTCCCATTCCTTTAGGACATCTGAAACCACCAAGTGTTAGCGGAGAAGCTGTCATACTGTTCTTACTTGATGCATCAACATGAAAACTGCTGTTGGTTATGTCTGTAGGGGCAAACTGAGGACACCAAGAGCCTTTAAGAACTTAGTTATGAAACTGCAGACAGGATCAGTCAGTGTCAGTTGCGGGTAGGAGCTGAGAGGTCACAGGAAGCTGTGTCGGCTGGCCTGGGGAAGCTGGTTTCCGTGAGCGTCTCTAGGGATGGACAATGAATGTGCAGGGGTCTGGCCCTGCTGCCGGGCAGCCATGTGCAGTCTGGGCTGCGCTGAAGACCTCTTGTGTGTTTTAGCTAGTGCTCCATGTACTGCAGTTGCTGTCTGGGTGGCTGTGGCACCCTGGATGCCCATGAGAAATGTGTGACCGTAGAGAGGAAGGTGTTCCCACCTGCTTTCCTCCTCATCCTCCGTTCCCCCTTGAGCTCAGCCCTGTGATGCTTGAGCAGCCAGGCAGAGCTGTGTGCTGGGCTCCTGTCCTCGGAGAGATCCCAGTCCTCCTCTGCAGAGCGGATGGAAGCTGGATGTGCTGACTCCAATAGTGACCCGGGACATGGTGGCAGTGGGTTTGTGTCTGCTCAGGTGAGGTAAGGACATGGGTTTTCATATCCCTGGTGACTGTTGTGCTATTCCCGTGCGGGAGCATGGCCTTATCCTCAGATCGCAGCAGCCATGGTTTAACGTGGTACTGTTGGGTCTTCTCTGAAACTGATCATGGAATGGTTTGAGTTGAAAGGAACCTTTAAAGATCATCCAGTTGCCACCCCCTGCCCTGGGCAGGGACACCTCCCACCAGCCCAGGTTGCTCCAAGCCCCGTCCAACCTGGCCTTGACCACCTCCAGGGATGGGGCAGCCACAGCTTCTCGGGGCAACCTGCCCCAGGGGCTCACCGCCCTC